GTTCTGTTCAAGGCCATCAGCTTTCTCAAAAAATGCCACGGAACATCTTGAATGGTCTGGGGATGGACATCACTCAGAGTCTCTGCACCGATTTCTAGGATGTGTTTCAATGTCAGTTTGGAATCATTTAAATGCTTCATATTTAATCTGACAAGAAGTTCATGGAAAATCTTCAATTTATCTGTAAAAAGAACAAAATGTTTTTAATATATAATCTTATGTTAAGCATTACTGGTATAAATAGTTTAAAACAATAAATATGAACGGTTTTCTACCTTAAGACTAGGTTCACACCTAAGCGTTTTGCGGTGCGTTTCGCATTTTGCAGAAACACACTGCAGTCCATTTAACATGATTTCCTATGGGACATCTCCACGTTTTCATCCGGTGCGGTTTTTTTAAAGGGTTGGGGACTTTTTTAAATGCAAAGCGTTGCATTTTGTCTCAATAGAATTCAATGGAGACACTGCAAAAATGCACGTGATGTGTTTTTGATGCGTTTTTTACACTATTTGGATGTGTTTTGCATTTTTATCTGCCCAGCAACAAGTTGGAAAAAAAACCCTGCAAAACGCATTAAAAACACATGGGCAAAAACGCTAAATGCACCGCATAAAGCACTGCAGAGACAGATCACATGTAAACTGTAAGGTGTGAACCTAGCCTAAAGCTGAATTCCAACTTTCTTTTCACTAGAAATGAATGGAATGATCAATCCCAGCACAGATCATACCCCTGTACCATGTTGCTCTGTTGTCTGCAGATCACCTGATACTCTGGGATTGGTTGTTGCTTTGTATCATGTGACCCTCTGTATATCCTGCTGATAGACTCCACCCCTTCCACAATCACTTCCTCCAGCAGATTATTGCTACCTCTAATGTAGTTCTAAAGGGGGAAAAAGCTCCTCAAATTAAAGTATACATTTTCACTTTGAGCTTTTCATTCTGCTCCTTTACATACAAATCCCTCTTATGTGATATCCTTATAATCAGACAATTTTGTTTTTTTACATTTTGGGGTAAATACATTTGAATCTGAAATGGAAGTGCTGTCTGTCCTGATAAAAAAAAGGTATAAAATGCAGGACTGAGACACCTCCCCCATCTATTTTTTCATAAAAACCACACAAACTGCACATCAGGAGCACATTTGTAATCTGAATCTCCATTCCTAAATTGAATCTATAACTAAAACGTTTTTTTTATAGAATCAGGAATTGATATAAACCCTGTGAGGTATTTTTTGCTGCCAGTGTAAAATTGGGTAATATCTCCCAAAGTTTGAGGAATTTTGCTTAGCCAGCTTTTCCCAGAACAGGTGTCCAAATTGGAAGAGTTCTTCCTACCTCTTGTTCTGAGGACACCTCCAAAATGTTGGCTTTACCCTTAGCCCTCATGCACATTTGATGTTTTTGCAGCGGCTGTTTTTGGCGTTTAACATTTTTTTCTATAGTTGATAAACTCCCCAGCATTTTATCCTATGTGTCCATACACAGATAGATTGGAATCAACGTTTTTTTGGCTGGAAAAAAAACAAAACTAGTGAGTTTCTAGAGGAGCCTTTCAGCTGTAAAAACGCTCCAACACTGAAAAATGGGGCAAAACGCAGTAAAACATGGCAAAACACAGTAAAACATGGTAAAATGCCGTAAACCAACGTTTTGGATGTTATTCAATTAAAAAAAAAAAGTTTTTGTTTTAAAAAAATGCAAAAAAAAAACGCAGACACGGAAAAAATGCCGCTAATCACGGCAAAACACTGCTAAACACTAATGCAAAAACGCTAAAAAATCTGAAAAACTTGTGTTTTTAACGTGACGTTACACAGCTAACATTACCAGCGTTATAAAAACGTCAAGTGTGCATGAGGGCTAAATGTTTGTGTTTGGGACAGCAATAAAAACATGACAGAAGTTCTAACCCCTCGCATCCAAAATTTAAAAAAAAGTATTTTCCTTGAGATGCACTTAGGTTTCTCTTGTACTGTCTCTCAGGGTAACGGTGTGTTCTGTTTCTCACCCCCATTCTGTCCTTATCACAGTAGGGATGCCAGGACAGAGTTAGGCTATAAGCAATCATAATGTATAAAAAAATTCTGATCACCTCCCCAGAGTAGTACAGTGTTACTATGGTAACATTACAGTGCTCTGGTCACAATTTTAAAATATGTAATCAAAAAGAAAAACAATTTAAAAAAGTATTAATTTTTTTTTTTGTATTGTCACCAGTCAGTGTCACTAATAATTGCCACACCCAGTTATATGATGATGCTGTACTGCACTGGTGACAGGATGTAAAAAAAAAATGTGAAAATGTGTTTATTTAATTTCTTCATTTTCCAAAAAATTGTGAAAAAAAATCACAACTTCAAAAAACTCTCCATGCCTCTTACTAAATACCTTGGACTGTCTATTTTCCAAAAAGGGGTCATTTGGGGGTATTTGTACTGTCCTGACATTTGTGGGCAGTTGTACTGTCCTGACATTTGGGGGGGGCATTTGTACTGTCCTGACATGTGTGATGTATTTGTACTGTCTTGATATGTGTGATGTATTTGTACTGTCCTGACATGTGTGATGTATTTGTACTGTCCTGACATTTGGGGGGCATTTGTACTATCCTGAAATTTTTTTTGGGGGGGGGGGCATTTGTACTGTCCTGACATGTGTGATGTATTTGTACTGTCCTGATATTTTGGGGCCTCATGAAATCAGCCATCAGTACATCAGGATTGATCAATTTCCCTCCTAGACTGTAAGCTCCCAGGATCAGGGCCCTCCTATCCCTCTTGTATTGAACTGTATTGTTGCTGTATTGTCTCCCGTTATATTGTAAAGTGCTGAGCAAACTGTTATATAAATCTTGTATAATAATAATAAAATCATTTTCAGATATATATCCAATAGTTTATGGATTTATAACTTTCCTACAGACTAAATAATAAACACTGATTTGGGTTATTTTCACCAAAGAAATGCAGGAGAATAAATTTTGGCCTAAATTGTTGAAGAAAGATTATTTATTTGCAAAACTTTATAAAAACTTTTTTTTAAATTGCTGGTCTTTGTTTAGTTTATTTAGCAAAAAAAACCCCAGAGGTGATTAAATACCACCAAAAGAAAGCCCCAGTTGTGGGAACAAAATGATAAAAATTTCGTATGCGTACAGTGTTGCATGACTGCACAACTGTCATTCAAAGTGTGACAGTGCTGAAAGCTGAAAATTGGCCTGGGGGGGAAGGGGGTGAAAGTGCTCAGTATTGAAATGGTTAACCACTTACTGACCGGTGATAGATGAATGACGGCTTCACCGCGGGCTGGCCAGTTCTGGGAGGGTGTCATATGACGTCCTCCCATGATCGTGCTTCATTCAGGTAAATGCTTGCTTATAGCTTATAATTCTTTGCTATAAGCAAATTGTGTAAAAAAAACAAAATACTGATCACTTCCCCAAAGTAGTACAATGTTACTATGGTAACATTGTACTACTTTGGTCATAGTGAAATATGAAATTAAAAAAAAGAAAAAAAAAGTAATAAAAAATTAAAAATAATAAAAAAAGAAAAAAAAAAAAATATATTTTTTTTTTCATACTGTCACCAGTCAGTGTCCCAGATCACTGCTATGCCAGTTATATGAAGACTCTGTACTGCACTGGTGACAGTTTGTAAAAAAAAAAAAATAGTGAAAATAATTTTTTTAATTTTTTTTCATTTTCTAAAAAATTATGACAAAAAAAATACAACTTCAAAAAACATTTGGGGGATATCTGTACTGTCCTGACATTTGGGGGATATCTGTACTGTCCTGACATTTGGGGGATATCGTACTGTTCTGACATTTTGGAGGATATCTGTACTGTTCTGACATTTGGGGGATATCTGTACTGTCCTGACATTTGGGGGATATCTGTACTGTCCTGACATTTGGGGGATATCTGTACTGTCCTGACATTTGGGGGATATCTGTACTGTCCTGACATTTGGGGGATATCTGTACTGTTCTGACATTTGGGGGATATCTGTACTGTTCTGACATTTGGGGGATATCTGTACTGTCCTGACATTTGGGGGATATCTGTACTGTCCTGACATTTGGGGGATATCTGTACTGTCCTGACATTTGGGGGATATCTGTACTGTTCTGACATTTGGGGGATATCTGTACTGTCCCTGACATTTGGGGATATCTGTACTGTTCTGACATTTGGGGGATATCTGTACTGTCCTGACATTTGGGGGATATCTGTACTGTCCTGACATTTGGGGGATATCTGTACTGTTCTGACATTTGGAGCATATCTGTACTGTCCTGACATTTGGGGGATATCTGTACTGTTCTGACATTTGGGGGATATCTGTACTGTCCTGACATTTGGGGGATATCTGTACTGTCCTGACATTTGGGGGATATCTGTACTGTTCTGACATTTGGAGGATATCTGTACTGTTCTGACATTTGGGGGATATCTGTACTGTCCTGACATTTGGGGGATATCTGTACTGTTCTGACATTCTTGGACCTCAAAAAATTAGATTGGCTGTCAGTACTTCAGGATTGATCAATATTCAGATCTATACCATAGTTTGTGAACTCTATAACTTTCCTACAAACTAAAAAAATACATCCTAATTTGGGTTATTTTCACCAAAGACATGGAGCAGAATACATCTCGGCCTAAATTTATGAAGAACAATTATTTATTTGCAAACTTTTATAACAGAAACAAAGAAAAAAACGTGTTTTTTTTCCAATATTTTTTGTCTTTTTTGTTAATTTAGCAAAAAATAAAAATCCCCAGCGGTGATTAAATACCAGCATAAGAAAGCTCTAGTTGTGTGAAGAAAATGATAATATTTCAGTTTGGGTACAATGTTGTATGACCGCGCAATTGTCATTCAAAGTGTGAGAGCGCTGAAACATGAAAACTGGACTGGGCAGGAAGGGGTAAAAGTGCCCGGTATGGAAGTGGTTAAAGGTGCTACTTAGATGTTGGGCCTCTGTATATGGCCAGGCTGTGGAAAAGTATCTGATCCAAAAATATTTAGACAGCAGGTGAATAAAGCCCCTGGACCGGATGGCTTGAACAGAGGGGTGGCTGTAAACGTGGTATATTTGGACAGAGGGGTGGCGGTGGATGTGGTATACTTGGACATAGGGGTGACTGTGGACGTGGTATACTTGGACATAGGGGTGACTGTGGACGTGGTATACTTGGACATAGGGGTGACTGTGGACGTGGTATACTTGGACAGAGGGGTGGCGGTGGACGTGGTATACTTGGACAGAGGGGGTGGCGGTGGACGTGGTATACTTGGACAGAGGGGTGGCGGTGGACGTGGTGTGTATACTTGGACAGAGGGGTGGCGATGGACGTGGTATACTTGGACAGAGAGGTGGCGGTGGATGTTGTATACTTGGACAGAGGGGTGGCGGTGAACATTGTATACTTGGACAGAGGGGTGGGCGGTGGACGTGGTATACTTGGACAGAGGGGTGGCGATGGACGTGGTATACTTGGACAGAGGGGTGGCCGTGGACATGGTATACTTGGACAGAGGGGTGGCGGTGGATGTGGTATACTTGGATTTTGCAAAAGCATTTGACACAGCTCCCCACACGGCTAATGTGTAAGGTAAAGTCTACAGGCTGGAAAAATCTGAATGTAAATGGATAGAAAACTGGCTAAAAGATCGTTTTCAGAGAGTAATGCTTAATGATTCATACTCTGAATGGTCTAGGGTCATCAGTGGGGTACCCCAAGGTTCAGTGTTATCAGTGGGGTACCCCAAGGTTCAGTGTTATTAGTGGGGGACCCCAAGGTTCAGTGTTATATCAGTGGGGTACCCAAGGTTCAGTGTTATCAGTGGGGTACCCCAAGGTTCAGTGTTATTAGTGGGGTACCCCAAGGTTCAGTGTTGGGACTCTTACTTTTTAATACATTTATAAATATATGGGGTCTGAGATTAAAAATCCCATTCCAGTCTTTGCAGATGACACCAAGCTGTGCCGGGGAATAACGTCCTTACAGGATGTCTCCAACTTACAAGCCGACCTCAATGCTCTGTGTAATTGGGGGACTATGTGGCAAATGAGGTTTAATGTTGATAAATGTAAGGTTCTGCGCTTTGGGGGCTAAGAATATGCATACATCATACATACTAGGAGGGGTACAACTGGGGGGTCAATGGTGGAGAAGGATCTGGGGGTTCTGGTAGATCACAAGCCTTAATAATGGCAGCAATGCCAAGCTGTGGTTTCTAAAGCGAGCAAAATCCTCTCCTGTATTAGGAGATGTATAGACTCCAGAGAGAGAGGTATCACCCCCCCCCCCCCAGTACAAATCATTAGTAACACCTCATCTGGAATATGCAGTTCAATTTTGGGCTCCAATTCACAAAAAGAACATTGGGGAACTGGAGAAAGTACAGAGAAGGGCAACCAAACTGATAAGAGGCATGGAGGAGATCAGCTATGAGGAAAGATTATTAAAAATATTAAGTTTCCAAAGAATTGAGGGAAAAAAAAAACACAACTTAAAAAAACTCACCATGCCTCTTACTAAATACTCCCATGCACAGCTGTGCCAGATTTTGCACTCTCAAGTTTTAGTAAATCAACCTCATTGTGTCTCCTGCTTGCTGTGGGGCTTCAGTATCAATCCAATAAACAGTGTGACTCTGACTTACCGGACCATGCTGCTGGTCTTTTTGAGCCCAGGCTTTGCCTGTCATGGGGGGCATACCCTGAGAGGGGTCTGTACAGAACTCTGACTACATGCATTGCACAAAGTGCCAAGGAGAACATCCAAGCAGGATCCAGTACCTAAAGAAACATTTCAGGCCATCCCCATAGTACGGGGCCTAGGTATGGCTTCCAAGGTTTTACCGAGGTGGTACAAATCCAGATGCATTGCTCCTACTGTTGTGGTAGAAGACAGTGAGGAGTTAAATAAAGAATCTGAAGTGCAGTAATAAACTAGTTAACCTTAGAATAATTTCTCAGTAAAGCAGAAGAAGAGGTCCATCACCTACGGACACTAGTGAACAACTGAGGACTCATGGAGTGGGTTAGGGTTATAGGGGGACACCCAGGGGGCATGTCCAGCAAAGCTTGGCCAGTGTCCATTCACCCGAAGGTAGCAGCCTATAGCCGGGTCTATGATATCCATCCTGTGTCTTGTACCTTACCATTAAGATAACAATGTATCAGTGTGGGAATACAATGCTGTTGGCTCAGGAATGTCAGTAATTTGTTTCACAAATCTTAGGTTGTCTTCATTCTACTCCCTGCTGTACAATGTTACAAAAAGTGAGATAAAGCAACAAAAAATAATACTAAATGAAGTGCTAAATATTGCAAAATAGAAACATATAACTCATTCTGAAAATATAACATGTTCTAGTGAACTGACTGCTTGTGAGATAAATACCTCATGAGTTATTCTAAGGCAAAAATGCATGAAGTGCTTAATTCTTGTGACACAAATATACATTTAAATTATGCTGCGCTCCTCCTCAAAGTGAAAAATAATAAACTAAAAATCAATTCATATTTCCAAAGAAACCATATCATTAACCAAAAATATATCAATATAAAAACATGCGATCAACAAAATAAGCTGTGACATCCCGTGCTTAACATTTGCAAATAATGAGTCTCTGTGAATAAGTAGTGACAATTCCCAGTGATTCAAATCAATAACTAATTCCAGGTGACTTCCTTAGTGAGATGAAGATGTGCGCTCCCCTCCAAGATAGCCTATACTAGGCTAATAACGCTTGTGTTCACTATATGGAACTGTAGTGTGTTGCACCATATGAGGAATGGTGGATCCCTCTCAGCCGGCTCTCCGTTTCCTATCCCTGCTGGGATCTTACTCTCTCGCTGCTTCTCCCCTGCTTTCCTCTCCTCTGCATATGCCCTTAGTGGAAAGAAAGCATTCCAGAGATAGTGCTTTATCCTTTATAAAAAAACTTTAATAAGGCACCCAATTGCGCTCACATATAAAAAAGTAAAAAAACGCTTCTGTGTATACAGAGCTGCGTCCTCAGCATGCCAAACACCACATGCCTGATGTGAACCTGTCGTCCTCAAATGGCCAGTGACGTTGTAGCCCCTCCCCTACGCGTTACGCCGCTGGTCACGCGGCTTCATCAGGGGGTTGTGATTGGAATTCACTCTTCCATTCGATCTATATATACTGACTATCCTCCATTTTGTTGTAGTTAACATGAGCACGGCCATCTTTTTGGGGCCGTAATTCAACAGATTACATTCTTCCCTGCCAATGTTTATACTAAGGATACAATGTTGCTGTTCGACTCTATACTACATGTCACTCCCATTCTTGGACTAACAGTGCACAATTACAATGGTACAACAAAGATGAATACATAACGATACTAAAATATATATTATTGTATGAGGAAAGAACAAAGAGCACAGGCCTAGTGCATTACCATAAAAAATGTTTAATAAGAAATAAAATAGGTGTTGTACACAAACGAGAATAAAGCCAAAGGCACATCATAAAGAATAGCTGGGTCAGCACCGCGCTGAGTAAACAGTCCGCAATAGGGAGTGTAGACATCCAATAGGCTGATGCATTTCGAGGACTTGCCTCTTCAAAGCCAACTAACCAAATGTCTGCTCCTCTTTTATATGCTCACTACTAGTTGAACCAAAGGTCACATGGGGCCACCCTAGACACTCCCCTATGCAGGTGGAGGAGTCACAGGGGCAAAGGAGATAAATCACTGGTATAAACATAAATGTTAATATAAAACATTACAAAAAAAGTCCTAATATGGTTTACAAAAGTATAAATAAATGAAATGAGAAATAAGTATTGTTACATATAGTATAATATCTGGTACAATTGGTATAGTGTATGGTATACGTGTGTACGCTAAAAACATAGAAGCTTGGAAATATAAATATTATAGGGAAAAAAAAATTAAAAAAATGAATTATATAAAAAAAATATATATTTTTTTTGTAAAAAAAATATAAGAATATACAGTTGTGACCAAAAATTATTCAACCCCCAATGCTGTAAAGGGGTTTTAGGGACTATAGTGTACATTTGGAATTGTATTCAGAATCAAATCCTACAAGGACGTTGTAACTACCCAAATGCAACTAAAATGACATCAATTGTTTATGTAATACAGTAGTAAATGGTTCTTATGTGGTTTCTTCATTGCCACAATTATTCAACCCCTTAAAGACTACCACTCTGAAGAACAGAGGTTCATACAGGTGCTTTCCATCAGGTATTGAAAACACCTGTGGATGTCACCGAGCAGCAATCAAGCATAATAAGCACCAATTAGGCAGCTTTAAAATGACTGTGATACTCAGCTCCTTCTAGACATTTACTGGTGTGGTTACAAACATGGTGAAGGCAAGAGAATGGTCCAGGAAGACAAGAGAAGAGGTGATTTCTCTTCACAGGAAGGGCAATGGCTATAAGAAGATTGCAAAGATGTTAAACATACCAAGAGACACCTTAGGAAGCATCATTCGCAAATTCAAGGCAAAGGGCACTGTTGAAACGCTACCTGGTCGTGGCAGAAAAAGAAGATGCTGACTTCGACTGCTGTGCGCTACCTGAAGCGTAGAGTGGAGAGAAGTCCCCGTGTGACTGCTGAGGAACTGAGAAAAGATTTGTCAGATGTGGGTACAGAAGTTTCAGCCCAGACAATAAGACGCACACTGCGTAATGAAGGCCTCCGTGCCAGAACTCCCAGGCGTACCCCCTTGCTGTCTCCAAAGAATAAGAAGAGTCGACTGCAGTATGCCAAAAGCCATGTGGACAAACCACAAAAGTTGTGGGATAGTGTTCTGTGGACTGATGAAACAAAATTAGAACTGTTTGGGCCCATGGATCAACGCTATGTTTGGAGGAGGAAGAACAAGGCCTATGATGAAAAGAACACCTTGCCTACTGTGAAGCATGGTGGAGGGTCAATCATGCTTTGGGGCTGTTTTGCTTCTGCAGGTACAGGGAAGCTTCAGCGTGTGCAAGGTACCATGAATTCTCTTCAGTACCAGGAGATATTGGATGGAAACGTGATGCAGTCCGTCACACACCTGAGGCTTGGGAGACGTTGGACCTTTCAACAGGACAATGATCCCAAGCATACCTCCAAGTCCACTAGAGCATGGTTGCAGAGGAAAGGCTGGAACATTTTGGAGTGGCCATCGCAGTCACCAGACTTAAATCCGATTGAGAACCTCTGGTGGGACTTAAAGAAAGCAGTTTGCAGTGCGCAAGCCTAAGAATGTGACTGAACTGGAGGCCTTTGCCCATGAAGAATGGGCGAAGATACCCGTAGATCGCTGCAAGACACTTGTGTCAAGCTATGCTTCACGTTTAAAAGCTGTTATAACTGTAAAAGGATGCTGTACTAAGTACTAAGATTGAATGTCACTTGGGGGTTGAATAAAAACTGATAATGCTGTGAGCACAGAAAAGACATTTGTGGTTATTTCATTATAACTGTTATGTTATATTTGTCTGACCTACAAGTGCCTCTTTAATGTAAATGTA